GGGGGGGGGGGGGGGGGGGGGGGATCAGGAGGGTTTACCTCCTCGAGAGAAATATTGAGGATTTTTTTTTTTTATTTCGTTGGGAGATTTTTTTTGGATTGGTGAAGGCCGATTTTAGCCGTCAATAGTTGGGGATCGGCTGAGTCGAATTGAACGATTTTTTTTTCATTTCGAAGGTATTTTTTGGGGCTTGAAAATGAGACGGGACTCGATCAAATCGCATCGTTAGCTCCGGAGCTATTGGCGATTTGAGAAGGTCGAAACTGAGAAGAATTAATTACAGAGGCGAGTAAAATGAACCGTTTTAGGGAGTCAATAACTAGAGATCGGCTGAGGGAATTTCAATAGTTCATTTCAAAGCCCATTTTTCAGGCTTCAAAACAAGACCTGACTCGTCCCAATCCCATCGTTTAATCATGAGATATTGATTTTAGAATGTCTACTCAACTTCCCTTTCTTAATTAATTTTAAAAAAAATAGAATTCAGGGAATTTTGAGGGCAGAAGCTTGGGGGGCGGTAATGATAACTCAAATCAATGACTCATAAACTTTCCCCACAAATAAAACATAAAAAACAACCCATTTTACCCCAACACATTCAAAAAAATAATAAAATCGGTTTTGAGGAAAATTCGTTTTTCAGCTGAAACTCTGGAAATAATGGGGCAAAATGGGCTGTCCTTTTTTTAATTCGTGGGTACATTTTCCGATGTGAAGGATAAGTAAGTGAATGGTCCGTTTTGCCCCGGTATTAGTTAAATTATGGGGAAGATGTTTTTTTTAGATTGAGTTTTTGGAGTTTTTAGATTTTTTTAGCGGAATTTTTTGAGTGGAAGGGTTTGTGGAGAATTTTTCATGGGATTGAATAATGAATTGAATTTGCTTGCAGGGCAAGGTCGAGTACTTCGTGAAATGGAAGGGCTGGAGTAAAAAGTGGAACACGTGGGAGCCAGAGGAGAATATTCTCGATGTGAGGCTAATTGAGCTGTACGAGGAGAGCCAGAAAGGGAGTGATGTTGCACCAAGGAGGCCCAGAAGAGCAGACACACGATATAATGTAATGATTGATTACGATTAATCATCTTGCGAGAGGAAATAAAATTTTCCAGAGTCTCTGGAGCTCTAGAGACGAATTTTCTTGATCAATTCTAAACTTCTGGTGTAATTTCGTGAATATCTCGAGAGGAAAGGGGTTTGGAGAAAAATGTGAAGAGGGATTTTTGGAGGAAATTAAATTTCCCACAAAAAATGCCTCTTGATATTTTTTGATTGAACGACTTCTTCCTGAGATAATAGCAAAATGAGAATTTGTTTTCAGTTAAATTAGATAATTGTTTGTTAATTCTCTCGTTATTTCGTGAAAATAAAATAAATAATTGGTAAATTAATCAATCTCCTCTTCAACAGGAACAAATCCTAGCGAATCTAGTGGTGGAAGAGGAGCCAGGTGGGGACGAGAGAGTGGGTGAAGACAGTCAGGACGAGTCAGGAAGTACCTCAGCCCAGCGATTGAATCCAGTCCCAGACGAGGACACGATCGCCAGTTCCCTGGATGGACACGAGTCCCCAACGCCCCCAGACCTATCAGTATCAGCTTTCAGTGTCGACTCGGACAGCTCCAACAGCAGTGTCGACATACCTCTGTTACCCAGGCGAGAGCCAGGGATCAAGAGGAAGTCGGAAGTTCTGAGTAAAGAGTCTGGAAAAATTGGCATCACCATCACCACTAGTCCCAGCAGTGGAGGCAGCAGTCCTCCACCCAGCAAATTACCGAGGTTGTTGCCACTCAAGGGAAATGCCACGTCTTCTTCTTATCATGTGAGTGAGATTATGGGGATTTTAGTGGGAAATAAGATTTTTTTTGCATTTTCTGGAGGAATTTCAAGTGATTCTCCTGTGGCTTGACTGAGGGATTTTTCAGGGGAACTTTATAGGGAAGGATTCAGGGAAAGGGGAGGATTTTTTAGAGCTTCAGAAAGGGGTTTTGAGAATTTTTTTTCAATTTCTTCGGATGACTTGGGGAATTCTAATTTTTTTTTGGGAAATGGGGAATTCTAGGGGGTGGAGGGGGTTTAGGGGTGAGGGTGGCGATGGGAGAGGGGCTTTAGAGATGCAGAAAGGTTGTTTGAGAATTTTTTAATGAAAAGAAAAAATTTTTGTCATTTTTTTGGAGGAATTCAAAAGATTCTTCTTGTGAATTGAATGAGGAATTCTAGGGGCAGGAGGGGGTTAGGGGAGAGGGTGGGAGAGGATTTTCAGAGATGATAAAACGTGGTTTGAGAATTTTTTGATAAAAATTGTAGAAATGAAAACTAGAGACAGTTTTTTCCTTTTTTTAAAGGAATTTGAAGGTTTTTTCTTGTGAATTGAATGGAGAATTCTAGGGGAGAGGATGGGAGAGGACTTAAAAAATCTACCGACCAAAAATCACCCCTAATCCCTCGTATTTTGCAGAATCACAAAGTGAACGGGAGAAGGCCCTCGTCTTCTTCAGTGAAGTCGACCCCAGACGAGCCCTCGCCAGCAGTACCAACGACCCCGGCGCCAGCAGTCCAAGACAAAAAGCGTCCCGAGGCTGATGTGCCCCACGGCCCTCCGCCCTCCCTCCCTCGGGCACCGCCACTGCCCTCGTCCCCCCAGCTGGACACCCCCCTGGAGCACCCACCGAAGAAACGACCCCTCGATAAACTCGAAAAATCCAATGGTGTGACGGACACAAATGGCCACAAATCCCCATCGCCCACAGACGTCTACACCAACAACAACAGGTTAATGTCAATTGTCAATGGACATCACAACAACAATCCCACATCCATCAAATCCCCGGAGCTGATCAAACCTGAGGACTACAAACCTCTCAGTCCAGGCACTGACTACTGGCACTCGATCACTCCTGTTGCTGATCAAGTATTTATCACTGATGTCACTGTTAATTTGAAAACTGTGACGATTAGGGAGTGCAAGACTGAGAAGGGCTTCTTCCGGGAGAGGGACCCCAAGAGTGATGTGTACTGAGGGGGAGGGGGAGGGAGAAGATGAAGTGGTGGGAATTAACGATGAAGGGAAAGAATTGATTGATCAACTGAGCTTGGGACACGGTTTTTTGGGGCTCAAAGGGGCAGAACGGGGGTTAGGGGAAAATGTCAGAAGACATTTTTTGTGGGGAATTTAATTCTCTGGAAACAATGTCTTGTGACATTTTCTTCTGAAACCACTCGTGACCGGGGTAATCTCGAATTTTAGTGAGAAGAAAATGGATTGATCACACCACTTCACTTTGGAATTAATTCGAGAGCATTTATTGGGGGTATTGAGGGTTCAGGAAGAGGTGAGGTAGCTTATTCGTTGATTAATGGGACTTTCAAACGAATAGTCAATCACTGTTTTTGGAAATTGAAATTTTTTATCGAAGGAGGATTTTTATCGCGAATTCAGTTGCAAAAACGAATTGGAAAGAGTTTTTCCTTCAGTCGGGGATATCTCAGAAGGGGCCAATTTTATCAAAAAATCTCATACGATGTTTTTTGTGCAGAATTAAATTCCCCGCAAAAAAATTCTTCTGACAATTGCCTCTAGGTCCCCTCATTCCCAAGTTATTCACGATTTTATCCCTGAGAAATCTCTCAAATCATGAATTTTTCTCATTTTTTCTTCAAAAATGGTTTCAAATCATCAATCAACGCATAATTAATCATCTCAATTAATTAACAAAGACCATTAATCGACGAATCACCCACCAAACCACAAAAATAAATTCTAAGAATGAAATTCAACGGATTAATTGTAAATATAAATTATTTTCACACTGAAAAAAAAGTAAAAATTCGATGTTAAAATCACCTCTCGAATCATTGTTTTTCATTAAAATAGACAAAACCGAAGGGTAATTGTTATTATAATTTTTTTTAATTATTGAAGATGTTTTTCAAGTATTAAACGAGAATTTCGAATTTTTTTAATCATTATTTTGTATATAAAAGAGGGCTTCATAGTTCTAGAGCGCGATCTGAGGGGCGTAAGTCCTCGTGGAAATTGTAAACATTATTTTTTTCAAGGCATTTGGGCTTTTACAACCGTTTTTCAACGAACACATCCCAAAAATCACTTTTTAATTCATTTTTTTAAATAATTGAAATGAAGACAATTCATTTTTAAAGATAACTCCTCTCCCACTGAAGACACCTCATTAATTCTTTCATTAGATAGCCCAGAAAATGTCTGTGGATTTGAAAAAAAAATGGTTGCCTATTTTGCCCCAGGGGTTCCAGAGAAAATTAGGAAAAACGAAAATCGAAGAAATTTCGTTTTTCTCAATTGTTCAGGGAACCACTGGGGCAAAAGGGTTTTTTTTTTTTAAATGATCGGAAATTTCCACGGCTTCCTGATGAGATGATTTTTATTTGGGTGCAGGGAGGACTTCCTGGGCTAATCGAATTTTCAGGGAATGGGGGTTGACTTATTCTCTTCATTTCATCGAATTTCTCAACAAACGCAATAGATGATAATCAGGACGATTTCACCTGCGAATTGTTTATTATGTATCCTTAGAAAGGTGTCATTGAAGTTGTTTTTGTCAGTCGATTTTAAGTAGTTGTTGGAGTTTTATAGAGCGAGGAAAAACGAGTGGAATTATTTTATTTAGTTTTTCGGAGGATCGTTGACTTCTGTTTCTCGTTGAGTTTCAAGTTATTTTTCATTCGAATGGGGATTTTGTGAGCATATCGTGAGAGGGGAGATGCAAAAGTGGTGAATCTCGAGGGGCTGGGGATGTTCAAGTGGTTTTCCAACGGAATTGTTGAATATAATTGATGATTAAGTCTAATTTTTTCAAGTCACTAATGTCACACGATCACAATTTGATAAACGCACTGATGAATAATTACGACTCTTTGTTTAAAATTTGATTGGCATTGTCATGTGAAAATACAACTGTTAAACTAAAACTACTAATTAATAAATGGGAGAGACGTGCGGCAACTCAGAAGAGAATTTTCCAACGAACATAATGAGCCCAGTGACATTGAAATCGGACGAAACGAGTGACTTTAATAAACGTTAATAGACTGAATAATTAGTTGTATTCAGACATCTCAACGGATGACTGTTGATATTTATTGAATCGATGAATTCCTGTTGTGTTACATTCACCTGAACTTTATGAATCCCAGTCAAGTCGAATTTGTCGATTTGTTAATTATGATATTATCTCAATAACTGGTGGTTTAGGAGAAATTGTCGAGAGACTTTTTTTGTAGAAAATTTCCTGATCTACGGAAAATATCTTTTGATATTTTCTCGTTAAACCAATAATGACTGAGATAATAGCGTATTTAAGTAGTGGCTTGCAAATGTTAAATTAAGTTAAACATGGAGACTTGATCATTCATGCTATTATCTCCAAGAATACCAAGTTTACCACAGTTTTTGAGATTTTTGGCCATTTTTAATGCAACACAACAGAAAATTATCGATTGAATCAACAGTAATTGTCTCTTGAACCCCCCCAGACCAATCACGACCAATTGTTAAAAAAACAACCCAAGAGACGAGAACATCTCGAGAACTTTATTCAAATAAATAAAGATCGAATGAAAAATGATGAAAAATACGTATACACACAGTGTGTGACACTCGTGCACTTTCAAAACCAGTTAATCCGTGATATAGTTGATTATAAATTTAAAAAACAACAAATAGATTGTAAAAAACCACTGCAAAAAGACGAGAGAGAAATGCAAAATCATGTACGATGCTTATTTATTATGAATAACGAATGCCGAATTTTTAGGTTTTTACAGTAAATAGAATAGTATTATGTGCGTGTACTCGATACCATTGCGACGACACAACAATAACAGCATTTATTAATCAATTGGCTCCGTTATTACGAAGAACCAAAGAGTAATGCCCCAGCGGAAACCACCGAAAGCCAAATTATCTGAATTATCTCGAGGGCCTGACCAACTACAGCTCCAAGCTCTGGCTCATCAGACAGCCAGGGAAATTTCCGATGATTTTCAAAAAAACGAAACCCATTTAGTCCTGATGGTTTTTTAAAAACCGTCGGAATAAGATTTGTCCAACGGTTTCAGTCGTCTTGACCCGTACCTGAGTTTTTTAGGAATATCTCCAAATCTAAGGGAGATAACGCAATTTTCATAATGACCTTTTTTGTAGCCCTTAATTTGTTCTACAAAAAAGGCTCTAACAATAATTTTGCTATCTCCCCTAGATTTCGAGTTATTCATTGAAAACTGGCCAACAGTCAAAATCGACTTTGAGTTTTACCATTTCGCTACTGAAATATCTCAAATATCTCAAGATCACGACGATATAAAGCACTTTATTTTTTAATGATTTCGTCGGAAATTTCCGGAGCTTCAAAATGCAAAAAAAATCGTCTTTCTAGCCCCAATAGCTCCCGAGATAATGATCATTTTGTGAAAGAATCACATTTCACGAGAAACAATTTTTGACATTGGATTGATAAACGGATAAAACAGTGAAAAAATTCAATCAAACTGAGGAATCGTCAATGACAATGGATGAATGACGAAGTAATTGTTGTAATGTATAATTGTAAATGAGGATGATGAATCCAACTGTAAAAAGTGTAAATAAAGATGATAAATTTCCTTCCGAGTCATAAGCGGAAATGGGTAAAAACTAAATGTAGATTTTTCTTTAATTAATTGATATTTAGTTGACTTGTAAATAAATAAATATCATCGAGTGTAAGTTGTAAAGACTAGGGGTGAGAGGGGGTAACTGTCCTCTGGGATTTTTAATGAGTTTATTTTTCAATCACTGATCATTAATTCTTTATTATCATTGAGAATAGACTGTGCGTACCTTCGATTATTTTGTTTTCTGTACTTATAGAGCAAATCATTATTGTATTGATGATTGAGAGGATGCAGTTGATAGTACACGTACCACATGATCGCGTATTAAAATGATATGTAAAACCCCGGTAGTACCAAATCCAACAGTAATTTTAGTTCTGTCTGGTACAGATTCCTTATATTTCAATAAAAATCATTATCTTGAAGACCTTCGACATGTTTTATTTCCCTCAGAAAACAGTTTCCCATTTCCTGGGTCGATAAATCAATTGGCACGAGGAGTGAGTCGTGATAATTGAATTGAAGTGATCAAAGAAAAATTGATTAACTGAGTTTGGGGCACGGTTTTTTGGGGCTCAAAGGGGCAGAACGGGGGTTAGGGAAAAATGTCAAGAGACATTTTTGTGGGGAATTTAATTCTCTAGAAAAAGTGTCTTGTGACATTTTCTTCTGAAGCCACTCGTGACCGGGATAATCTCGAATTTTAGTGAGAAGAAAATGGATTGATCACACCACTTCACTTTGGAATTAATTCGAGAGCATTTATTGGGGGTATTGAGGGTTCAGGAAGAGGTGAGGTAGTTTATTCGTTGATTAATGGGACTTTCAAACGAGTAGTCAATCACTGTTTTTGGAAATTGAAATTTTTTATTGAAGGAGAAGGATTTTTATCACTAATTCAATTGCAAAAACAATTTGGAAAGAGTTTTTCCTTCAGTCGGGCATATCTCAGAAGGGTCCAGTTTTATCAAAAAATCTCATACGATGTTTTTTGTGCGGAATTAAATTCCCCGCAAAAAAAATCTTTTGACAATTTCCTCTAGATCCACTCATTCCCAAGATACTCACGATTTTATCCCTGAGAAATCTCTCAAATCATGAATTTTTCTCATTTTTTCTTCAAAAATGATTTTAAATCATCAATCAAAGCATAACTAATCATCTCAATTAATTAACAAAGGCCATTAATCAACGAATCACCCACCAAACCGCAAAAACAAATTCTAAGAATGAAATTCAACGAATTGATTGTAAATAGAAATTATTTTCCCACTGGAAAAAAAGTAGAAATTCGATGTTAAAATCACCTCTCGAATCATCATGGTGATTGAATTGTCCTAATGACAATAATATTTAAATCAGCCGCTGAGAGTGCAATGCCACCTAGTGACATCCAATCAACATTCGTATCGTGTCTCCCCCATCAGTGCCTGAGCGACAATAAACCTGTGAAGCCCTCCCGCATTATCACGCGGAAATAATTCTCCTCTTGCCCATTGACTCCCAGTATCGGCCAAAAAAATATCCCACTGAAAAGAAAATAAATAACACTCACCAATCGTGTGGTCGAAGGTGTATGTGTGGACTCCTGGTGCCATATGTACAGCAGAAATAATCAGCGATATGTGGATAAAACCACAGGAGGTCCTCCTCGCAAATGCATTCTGGTAACAAATCCAAATATTTGATCTTTTCATTACAACTGCCACAACATAATCAAGTGTTTACATACCGTCGTGTGTCAAAGACAGCTGACGTCAAAAAAAATAATTGCAACACTCGTAACCCATCCGCTCCGATATACTCCATTAGATGAAAAAAAAAATTTTTTTTCTACGCAATTATCATATTTTTTTTTAGTATTTGAGGAAAAAAATTGTAGGGAAATTTTTTTTTTTCATGTTTGACCCTTGTGACCCTTACGAAAATTTTGAGGTTATGTCATAGGGGGTGTTCAGTTATAAAATAACGACTTGTTATTACATAAGAGGAAAACAATTGAAAAAAAAATTTTTTTTTGTCTGACCCTTGTGACCCTTACGAAGCATTTGAGGTTGGGTCGTAGAGGGCTGGAGGGAGGGCGCGTTAAATTGAAAAATCACGACCGATATTACACGAGAAAAAAAAAATTTTCAATTTTTTTTTCATGTCTGACCCTTACGACCCTTACGAAGCTTTCAAGGTTGTGTCGTGCAGGGTTGGGCGGAAGGGGCGTTTGACGAAAAAATAACGACTCAATATTACATAAGAGGGAAAAATTTGACAAACAAAAAATTTTCATGTGTGACCCTTGCGACCCTTACAAAACTTTTGAGGTCGTGTCATCAGGAGTTAGGGGAGGGTGTGTTCAAATGAAAAATAATGACTGGATATATAAAGATAAAAAAATTGAAAAAAAAAATGTTTTCGTGTCTGGCCCTTGCAACCCTTACGCAGCCTTTGAGGTTGTTATGGGGGTTGGAAGGAGAGATGCGTAAGAAATAGTAAAACTCACCTGATATTATCGCAGGGTAACGGAGGCAGCCACTGTCTACTTCGTTCTCCAGCGGCGGAAGGGCCATGGTAAGACAAAGGGCCTGTCTTCGATCCTCGTTGGGACCTTAGACAGCGTCTTTGATACCAAACCTCCGCCGTTTAGAATTCTGCATCAAACTCCATCGTCAGAGGTTTATTGGGGTAAGTTGTATCATCATCCCGGGGTTATCCTGGGTGCCTGGGGAGATAAGGGACTAGGGTCAGGCTCATTGGAAAGTTGAGAAAATTTCCGGTGGATTGAAAAAAAAAATGATTGTGATTGGCTGACGGACGCTCAGTTGAACGTCCGACATTCGTCTAACGCGACATAACGCGGAAATTTCGCCCTATCGACATAATATACATGACCACGACATGAACGTCCGCGTTGAGATTTTACGGACGTCCGTCGAACGTTCATAAATTGAGGTTGAATAGACGTTCGTTGATCATAAAATGAACGTCCATCATGATATATCAGGAACATCATCAAACGTCCAAAAATGAAACAGACGTCCCTACGACGTCCATTCGCGTGGACTTGCTCTTGTACCCCCTAACTTTTCAACGAGCCCCCCTCCCTCCCCCAAATGGAAAAAAACCACATGAAAAACGTAAAAATTCTCCAGTAGTGGCATGTTCTCTCACTTACGAGGAGATCCTCCAGGACTGGGAGTGGCTCCAATCCAACTTGATGGACACCCTGAAGTCCTTCGACACAGAGGACGAGATAACCGAATTCGTATGTTGTAAAATTCAATCAATAATCGCGAACAATGTCCCCGACTGTCAATTCGCGGAGGAAGAGGATCCGGAGTCCTTCAAAACCGCGTCCTTTACGTTTCACCAGCTATTCGGTCTCCCCAGTGACGACAAACTCGTCAACTACTACTCATGTAGCTACTGGAAGGGCCGTTTGCCCCGTCAGGGTTGGTTGTACCTGTCCGTCAACCACATGTGCTTTTACGCGTACATCCTCACGAAGGAAACAAAGTTGATAATCCGTTGGGCGGATATCATTGAGCTAGGGAAGACCAATTCCCTTCTCTTTCCGGACAGCATTCGCGTCGCGACTCGCGATAACAAGGAGCACTACTTCAGCATGTTCCTCCGTAAGTCTGAGACTTACTCACTGATGGAACAGCTGACGAACATCGCGATGAAGCGGCTCATCGACGAGAAGAGTGGCTTCAATGAGGATCGCGACCTCCTGCACAAGCTATCCAAAAACGTCTCGAAGAAGAAACCCTTTCTCAAACGCGATCTAGACGCGCGTGCGCATTCTGAGGCTTATCGTCTTCAGTTTCGGCTGCCGGTTACCGAGAAGCTCGACGGTTGCATAGACGCCACCCTCTGGACACCGTACGACAAGCATGACGTCTGGGGGAAGATCTTTCTCTCCCAGAACTATCTGTGCTTCGAGTCCCGCGTCCGCCAGCTGGTGAGCCTGGTCATTCCTCTGCGGGAGGTCCAGCTGGTCGAAGCCGCGGATCAGTCCCCGATGTCCTCGAACACCACTGACAAGTCCATAATTGTAACGACCCCGCGGTCCTTCTTCCTCTTCGCACAAATCCAAGACCGCGACTTCGTTGTCCAAAAGATATCTGAGCTCCTCGCCAAGACTAGATTGAACTCGCCGTCTGCTGGTGCTGCTCCTCCGGCGACGAAATCCTGGGCCCCCCAGCCCCCCCTCATGACCCTTTTCAAGGCCCCGTTGAGCCCCGAAGCATCCATAAAGCAGGAAGCCAAAGAGAAACAGTGGGAGATTCACTTTACGGAATTTGGTCGCGGGATCACCATCTACAGGACGACGGAAACCGCCAAGTTGGTGATTCAGGGGGTTCCGCAGACCCTCAGGGGGGAGGTATGGCTGACCTTCTCCGGGGCGATCAACGAGATGGCGATGAATCCCGGTCTCTACAAGTCCCTAGTAGATCAGTCCATAGGAAGAGCTTGCCAAGCTAACGAGGAGATCGAGAGGGACCTTCACAGGTCGTTACCCGAGCACCCGGCGTTCCAATCGGACACCGGAATCAGTGCCCTCCGAAGGGTCCTCTCAGCTTACGCCTGCAGAAACCCCCAGATCGGTTACTGTCAAGCCATGAACATCGTCGCCTCGGTCCTTTTGATCTACTGCTCAGAGGAGTCGGCTTTCTGGCAACTCTGCAACGTCTGCGAGTCCCTCTTACCTGATTACTACGATCGAAGGGTGGTCGGGGCACTCGTGGACCAAGGCCTCCTGGAGGAGCTCGCCGCGGAACACCTACCCACACTCCACGCGAAGCTTCAGGAACTCGGTTTGATCCGAGTAATCTCCTTGTCCTGGTTCCTCACAATCTTCCTCAGTGTTATGCCCACGGGCAGCGCCGTCAACATCATGGACTGCTTCTTCTACGACGGGGCCAAGGTTATCTTCCAGATCGCGTTGACGGTGCTTGAGTGGAATCAGGAGAAGCTTCTCAACTGTCGCGATGACGGCGAAGCCATGCAGATCCTGACGGACTACCTCGGAGGGGTCTTCAACGACGAGGGACCGGTCCTGCCGAGGCCCGTGGACTCGGCGATTCCCCCAAGAAGCATCTCCGTTCAGACTCTGATCTACGAGGCCTACTCCAGGTACGGAACCCTGACGATCGGGCGGATCGAACGACTGAGGTTGAAGCATCGGTTACGGGTGGTGCAGCATTTGGAAGAGGGGATCGAGAAGAACGTCATCAGGAGTGTGATTGTTGACAAATATATGACGGCAGATGAGCTCCAGGAGCTGCTCAGTCTCGTCCGCGAGGAGCTCATGAGCCAACGGAAGTCGGAGCCTGATCGCTATGATCCGACCCAACCACCTTACGAGGCATATCGAGTGGACTTTGAACTCTTCAGGATTCTCTTCGGGGGACTGTCGCCCTGGGGCAAGTGCTCCCAGGCTGAGTCCCTCGCGGCGAGGCTCTTCCGGCTCATGGACCGGAATCGCGACGGCTACCTGAACTTTCGGGAGGTGGTGCAAGCGATCGGCATCACCTCGACGGCGGACGCGGCGCAGAGACTCAAGCTGTTGTATACTCTTCACCTGCCGCCATTGCTGTCACCAGCGGACATCGACTCGCCGACGCATTCCGACGGGGCAGAGGTCGCTGCGGAGGCCACTGACTTCTTTGATACCATGGAGCAGAGCTTCGGATCCCTGGACCTGTCGGTCAGTGCTGCTGAGGAACCAGATGGCAACCTGAGTAGATCAGCTAGTGTGAATTCCCAGAAGGAGGAGAGCTGGGAGGTTCAGAGCATGGGCAGTCTCAGGTCCATGCTGGACTCCAAGGACAGCCCGCTGGAGATGAAGAATGTGCCGAAAATGAGTCAGAGGCACTTTATAGCGCTGTGGAAAACACTCTATGACATGTTTCCAACTCAGCCGGAGGAGCAGGAGATTTATCACTCTATCGCATCGATAGGTCAGTATATGATCGAATTCATCATTAGAGAAATCAGGATCAGATATGAAGTTAGAGGGGAAATTATTGAATTCTAGTCATAAAATCATATTCATGACCATGATCTCAAATTTATGATCACAATCGTAAAATCATATCCGTAATTTTGAATTTTTTAATTTTTGAACTAAGATACGGACCATAAGATCATAATCCGGATCATATAATCATAACGGTTATTATCAATTCATAATACCAATCATAAAATCATGAATACGACCATAAAATCATAATCATACCCATGAAGTCATGATCTTGACCATAAAATAATACTGTAGTAAAATCATGACGATCATGAGCTCATGATACCCCCCATAAATTATGATAATACTCGTTAAATCATATTGAAGAGTTCATGAGTTCATAATCATGACCATAAAATCATAATTATACCCATGAAGTCATGATCTTGACCATAAAATAATACTGTAATAAAATCATGACGATCATGGGCTCATGATATCCCCCATAAATTATGATAATACTCGTTAAATCATATTGATGAGTTCATGAGTTCATAATCATGACCATAAAATCATAATCCTCATCACAGAATCATGATGATAATCAAGATTTCAGAATTATGAAATCATAGCAATGATCGTAAAATCATACTCGGTCATAAAATCAGAATTCCGACCATGAAATCATTATGATTGTGGGGTCAGCCTATAATTCCGTGCCAATATAATCACAGGTACATTATTGCTGCAACTTGGAGACGTGGGAAAGAAATTCTATGGCGAGAGGGAGGAGTCAGAGGACAGTCTGCTCATAGCAGCCTCAAAAGTTCAGACCGGGTCTCAAATTCAGAGAGTGAGTTCATAAAAAAATTCTCTTGATCTAATTGAGCTACGGAGGCCGTTTTTTTTTCATTTTGGCGGAAATTTTCCGATCTATTGATTGGGATGGGAAGCAGACCCCCGTTTTGGGGGGAAATTTGAATGTGATTTTTGGTTCTAGTCACCCGATCGCAATGGAAACCCTTCGACATCTTCATCAGCTGATCCCGACTGGGCAATTTCAGTTGAGCAGTTTTTAGCGTCCGCCCTCAATGGTGCACCCATCACCGATTTTTTCAGCAAAAGGGCCAATCTCCTCGAGGCCATTGCGACACTGAGAAATAGGCGATTCAATCGTGTGCACTCGTTGGCAGATACGCCAGTACTTAAAGTGTGACACAGGCCCATTATCGATGTTTAATTGCATCATTTATCGAGGGTAAACAGACTATTCGAGTAATTAATAATAAATAATATCAACAGCATAATGAGAAGAGAATAGTAATAATCATGGGAATGCCAATCGTTGAATGTTAATTAGTAATTAGGTAATTAATCAGTGATTGATTAATCATTAATTAATTATTTACCAATTTTCGATTAGTGATTAATTGATTAATTCATCAAAAATAGTAATTAATTAATTAAAAATTAGTCGATTAATTAATGATTAATTAATTAATCATGAATTTAGTTTTTGTATGGAAAAATATTACGAAGTATTACGAAAAATTTCGCCTGTGGAATAATTAACGATTGGTAATTGATAATTTTTTACTGGTGCAAATTATAAATACTCAGGGTACCATAAATTTTTTTTTTCAGTGATTGAAAATTTTTTTTCAAAAATTTTGCGCACTGTTTCTAGGATCTATCTTCAGAACATTCGATAGTCTATATTTTATAGCTTTATATCAATGTGAATGAGACAATTATGTGATTAGAATTAACCGGCATAATTGAAAACAGAGAATTTATTTTTCATGGAATATGGAATATGCATCACAGGACATTTCTATCTGACGGAGATGAGGTCTCGCTCATTCGATAGATGAGAACATTGGAGGTGAAATGAAATAAAAAGGATTGCCCGTTTTGCCCCAGGAATATAGGAAAAATTGAAGTAAATTTGATTTTTTTTGGGTAAAAAAAATTTTCGGGGATATCTTGGGAAATACTGGGGCAAAATGGGGGCTTTTTTATTTATTTGTGGGGACAGTGGGGACCCCCCCCCCC